GTCTCCCTGGCTCCGTCGGAATTCCCCCGACGCCACGCTCAGGCGGCGCCAGCTGCTGTTGCTCTACCCCGGGATGTGCGACGCGGGCACAAGGACCGAAGTGCGGTACCAGGTCCTGCTGGCGGCCGCCCTTTTACTGTAGGCCTATCGGCCCCCCGGACCTCAAGCATTCAGGTCCCGACAGGATGGTTCTAGCCATCGCTTCATCCCTTCATTCACATATTCATTCAGCAAATCGTTTTTGAACACCTACGGTGTGCCAAGCGCTGTTGTAGGGGCTGGGACACTGCAGCCAAGACAGGCAGGACTACAGTCCCAGAGCTGAAATTCCGGAGGTGAATACACAATAAGTATGCAAATTAGAGGAAAAGTCAGTTACTGGCCCGGTCTCCTGCTACTCTGCCCTCCTTGCCATTTCCTAAGCGGTCCTGTGCCTTTAGGGTCTTTGTGGCTATTCCCTCGGCAGGGAATGCTTTTTCTAATTTATCCGGCGTGGCTGAAATGTTACCTACTTAATGTCACCCCATCTGACCAACTCATTGAAAATTGCACTCTCTCCACCCTGTCTCCTTACCCTGTTCTTTTTCCCTCATAGAACTTATCACCTCCCAATATATTATATATTGTAGCTCACTTACTTGCATGTTTGTTGTCTGTTGCCTTGCCTCTCTTCTCCCAAATGGGGGGATGGGGGGGATGGACAGGGTTTTTGTTTATTTGTTCACACGTGAAGAACTGGAGTAGATGATCAATAATTATTTGTTGAATGAATTAATGGATACATAGAGATAAATGTGAAGAAAATAAAATGAGGCCATGAAATGTCTAGGGGCAGGGGGCAAATTTAGTAAGGCGGTCAGGGAAGGCCTCTCCCAGAAGGGGGACAGCCACGTGAAAAGCTGGGCGAAGATGTCCCACAAACAGGGAACAGTATGTGGAGGCTGGCCAAGTTCTAATTGATGGTGGACATAATGGTGCTGCAGGAAGGCAGGTGTGAGACGAGGTAGAAGAGGAAAGCAGGAGCACAGGTCAAGTAGGGGGGGGCCCATAAATTCTGGGAAAGGTTAAGCCTGGAAGCTTACTAGTGGAAGGGGATGAGCACTGGACTGGGAGTCAGCGGGACCCCAGCAAAACCACGGACTCTATGGGCAAAACTCCTCATTTTAAAGATTTGTTAAGCTCCGATTGCTTGACATTCATTGGTATGAAATCGCTGAGGGCCGGGCACACAGTAGGTGCCCAATAAATGGTTATGGAAGGAATGACTGCGTGCACGCGCAAGGGGACTCCGGGTTGCCCAGAGCCCGGCAGGGGAGCCTCGGTGGCCCTGGGAGGCACGTCCCGGCAGGCAGCCCCAGGCGGGGGCGGGGGCGCCCTGTCGGGCTGCCCGGGCTCCCGCCCCCCGCCCGGCGCGCGGGCCCGTCGCGGCCAGCCCGGCTGGCGGGAGCCGCCCGCGGGCGGCACTGGGCATGCTCAGACGGCGGCCAGGTCGCGCCGCGAGCGAGCTTCCGCGCCGCCCGCACGCGCGACGTACCTGGGCGCCCCGCGCCCCCGGATGCTGCAGGTACGGGCCGGCGCGACCCCAGCGGGCCGGGGGCAGGGTGCGGGGTGATCAAGGGCGGGGGTCGCGCTCGGCGCCGCCCCGCCCCCACTCATCCCCAGGAGCGCGGCGAACGCGCGGGCGGGCTGGCGGACGCGGCGGCCCCGGGGTCCCGGTGCCACGTCGGGGCAGGGAGGGGGCGCCCCTGCTGCGCTCACCTGGCGGGGCCGGGGCGGGAGGGAGCAGGCCGGGCCGGGTGGGGCTCGCTTCCGAGCGGGCTCTGGGACGCGGCCGCGGCGGCGAGGCGTGGGCGTGCGCTCCGACCCGGGCTGGGGCGGACGCGACCCGCGGAGCTAGCGCAGCCGGTGACTCCGGAGGGCCCAGCGCCGCCGCGACCCAGGCCCCCGGCGCCGAGGGGGCGCACAGCCCGCGGGGCCGCCAGACCTTCTCGGCTCTCTCCGGGCGAATCCGCCTCTCGGTTTTCAAAGATGGCATTTCCTGGGCCTGGCACGAACTCCAGCGCCAATAAATCCTCCCTGTTCCGCGGGCGATATGGAATGATTTATCAGGTACCTGCGGCGAGACAGCTGCAATAGGGGAATGTATGTGAGCGTTCCCTGCCCCCTGGAAATTCCCATTTTCAGCAACCTAAACTTACTGAGAAGTTGCTGTTGCCTTAAAAATTCATGGGAAGTTGAGACAACTTGACACCTGGGTTTTCCGAGGTGGTGGAAAGAGCTTGTGACTTGGAAACTGGAGACCTCCGATCAAGTTGGGCTCCCCCTTAGCCAGCTGGTGACCTTGGGCGAGTTGTTTAACTTCTCTGATGCTCAATTTCCTCCTCTGCAAACCACCGGTAATAATGCCCACCTCATTGGGTTGTTGGGTGGATTAAGTGGGATAAATTATGTGGAGGTGTTTGGCACCGTGCCCGGCACAAAGCAAGCCAGCAGTTGGTGTCATGTGAATTTAATTCGTTTAGAGACCCTCATAGCTCTCATTTCACCAGGAAATTAGAATTACGAAAGCATCTTCAGGGCCTAGTGGCAGAATGACAGACCCTGTCCTTGTGCCCTGGAGAACTTCTGCTGAAGTCAAGGACTTTGGAAAAACGATTTAGTCGAATTGTAATTGGAGAGCATCTTCTTTAAAAGCAGTTTTATACATTCAGAAACTCCAGAAGTTGGCAGTTCAGCTTTACTTACAAAAGAGCTGTTTTGTGTGATGATCCATTTTGCAAATGTTTAAGCAGATGGTGCTTTTTGAAAGTAAAGCCTGGTTAGGAAGATTTCTGTTTTGAAAAGTTTCTAGACCCAACTTTAAGTGATTATTTAGACCCGGGTTTCTTAACCTCATGGCTGAGATTGGTTAATTCTTTGTTGTAGGGCCTGTCCGATGCATCGGAGGATATTTAGCAGCGTCCCTGGTCTCTACCCAGTAGATTCCAGTAGCGATCCCTTTTCCTCTTTCCCTCAGTTTTGTCAACCAAAAATGCCTCCAGACATGGCCAGATGTTCCCTGGGGGTCCAAATACCCCGTCTCCTGGAGAACCACTGCTGTTTTCTGTCATTAGCCTCTCCAAGTTGTTTGAGAAGTTCATCTTCTGTTTTTACTATAGTAACTAACCTCTGTATAGCCTTATAAAACTGCACAGAGTGCATCCACATGCATCAACTCATTTAATTTTTACAACTCCCTGGTGAGGCTGGTGCTATTCCCATTTTACAGATGAGGAAATCAAGGCTTTGAGCAGCTGATTACACATGATGTGGTGTAGCTGCCATACAACTCAGGTTTTCTGGTTCCGTGGGCAGGTCTTTTTCTTCTGCATGAAGCTTGCCTTTTATTGTATGGAGACTTTCAAATAGGTGACTTTCCTGGTGATTAAATCAAGATGTAAAATAGGCTGGAAGTTGGAAACCTCTCTGAGATTGACTAGTTGAACATTAACAATAGTAGGCTATTATCTGACAGAGAGTAGGTCGTTCTAGTTAAATATTCTAGTTTATAGTGAGCTCCCATAAATCCCACGTACAGTTAATGGAATACCAATTTGCAGAGAATTAGAGTAGAATAAAACATGCCTAATACTCTGTATTGATCCTGAGTTGTCTCTGGTGATTTGCCATCTCCAAAAAGGAACTCCTACATGCAAATTAGACATTAGCTGGGGCATGTAAAAGGTCAAGTTACTGAAGGCATTTCAGAGTAGCTCCTGTGTTCTGCATGGCAGTGCAGTGCTGGGGGTGGGGGGTGTAGGGTTGGCCACTGGACCCCAGTGAACCCGGGGTGCCTGGGGGAACTTCTCTGCCTGGAGAGGGCAGGTCCTGGTCAGGCCGGACACAATAGAAGGCTTCAGGGACAGCTTGGGGCAAGAGAAAGAACCTAATTTAACACACAGTCAAATTCAGGGTCCCACACTGCTTCACCACTCCCGTCTCTGAGCCCTCCTTTCTGCATTTTATCATAGAGATGTATGTGTCCTGGTAGCTTTTAACATTCTCATGCAAGTGTCAGGAACCTGGTCAGAGACATGTTATCCCTGAAAGAAGCTGTGGTTCCAGGCTAGGAATGGGTCTCAGGAGATTGTTGACTGTGAACTAGAAGGTTTCACATACATTGTTTAATTGCAGTGTTGCCCCTCCTTCCCTCTTGCAGTTAAGGAAACAGCTAGCAAAAGGTAGTGTCGGGCCAGGAGCAAGAGGGGTGAAGTAGGACCTCGTGAACATCAGGTCCAGGCTACGAGGGATTTTGTTTTCTAAAATGGACATAGTCCATCAGAGGGGCTGAGCTTTGGGGATTGGAGGGAACCGGAGATGTGGCATCCTACCTCCCCGCTAACCCTCAGCGTTTGTGGCAGGTTGGGAAGGGACCAGCAATTTGTGGTCCCTCCCTCTCTACCTAGGAGAGTGCCTATTGACCATAATCTCAGTGCTGACCTTCCTTTCACCAGATAATGGTTCCTGGACAGCAGGGCTGACCCCTCTTCGTCTCTTCTCAGGGTCTGTTGCAAGGGCTAGAATGCCTCAGGCACAGTGTACCCTGGCGGTGACAGGCTGGTGGGGGCGGGGCAGCCTGCTGGTGTTCTTCCCAAGCCTCAGCTCTTCTTACCAACTCTCATTGGGACGGGACGGGACCTGGTCAGTGTCCACACTGCTCTGGGCTGGGTCCCAGGCACCTCAGGCTCTGATGTCACAGGTGTCTCCGTTCATCTGCCTTAGAGGGCACTAAAGGCAGCACTTGGTAGGCCCCTGGCTGCAGTCAGATCTGGTCATGGCTCCCACAGACCTGCATCGCACAACTTGTCGTTGTGTCTCCAGTGAAGACCAGCTGTGAGCACAGAGTTAACAGCAAATTCAGACAATTATTGAGCCTGTACCATGTGTTGGGCACCAGGGTTACAGAGATGAAATCTGAACACATTTTAGAAGGATTCATGGCCGAGTTAGGAAGACCGTGATGTGTGTGTGTGAGTGTGAGTGTGTGTGTGTGTGTGTATATGTGTATGCATGCGATCTATCTATCTATCTATCTACCTGTCTATCTGTCTTATCTATCTGCCATCTAATAAGCGCTTTAAAAGAGGATAAAGCCAGATGCAAGAGAGACCAGTGGAGGCAGCCACTCATTCTGAGGGGCATCAAGGACTATCACAGGGAGTACCGGCATTTGAATTCAGTTTGAAGGTAGGGAAAAATGGCACTCGGAGCAGACAGACCAGCAGATGCAAAGGCTCAGAGACATGAAGAGACCTTGTGTATTTCAGGAGTGGTGACTTCCCCAGGTCTAGCCTTCTGAGCTTGGCTAATGCAGGACTCACTCACCTCCTGGAGCTAGGGTACTCCCCCATCTCTGCCCTGGGGGCCTGGCCTCACTCAGCCCAGGAGTAAGTGCCCATTCTCCTTCTCTTCCCCCCAAATGGATTGATGCCTCTGTGTTGTCTTTGGGGCCTGAGCACCTTCTGCCAGGATGCCTCTGGTTTTAGTTATTCAGCACTAATATGGCACTTACTGGCTGCCAGGCACTGTTCCTAAGTGCTTTCCATATATTAACTCATTCATGTAATTCTTGTGGCAACCCTCGGGCCGTGTTGCCTCCCCGGGTAGTGGCCGCTTGGTAGGTAGGTGGGCAGAGCTCAGATCCCCGGCCTGCGCCCCTCTGTGGGTGATGCTCAGATCATACAGCTTCTGGCTGCGCTTCACACCAATGTTGTTGGGAAACAGCCGAGTGTGAGAGTTGTGGTGGAGTGCTGACTGCCATGGATTTTTCTCCCTGACCCCGTTTCCTTCAGGGGGCCTGCAGGGCTCCGCTGACTACACTTTCTGAATCAAAGATTGGGATCTGGAGTCTGAAAAAGAATGTGCTGCTTTTTTGTGTAAGAGGAGGCCTGGGAGGTGTTGTTTGGATACTGAGAGAGTGGAATTTTTGAGACATTTCAATGGTTTATGTGGAAAGTTAGGACAGAGGATTTGAAATTGGGATAGTCCTGGAAAATTCAGGTCCCATGATTTACTGTCAGGATACACAAGCTTTTAGTAAATATTTAAGCAGTATGTAGTTTGGAGTGAATTTTCTGTACTGAGCCTACTGGAGCCTCAAAAGGGAATAAACAGTACCTTTTAGCCACAGAATCTTGCGAGTTCCTACCAGCCCCAGTTCACGGATGCAGTGAGAAAGCTGAGGCTCAGAGGGATGAGATGACTACCTGAAGGGCACAGTGCTTTGAAGTAGGATAGCCAAGATTGGAACCCACGTCTGTCCCTAGACATATCATATAACTGTAAGACAAGGATGATAATAGAACCTGTTTCCTTTAAATAACGACCGAAAACTCACTCAGGCAGAACTTGGCACAGGAAAGGGGGGTCCCCTCCGTTGTGGTCAGGCCTCTAGCCCTCCCGACAAGCACCCTGTTTGCCGATCAGTGCTGAGAGTCGCTGGGGCCGAGTGGTGGTCCGTTCCCAAGGCAGGGAGGGCTTCAGGTCCTGGCGCTTAGATCTAAAGGGACATTCCAAGGGCAGGCTTCAGGACCAGAGAAAGAGGCCAGGGCTGCAGGATGGCATGTTGATTAAAGGCACTGGTCTGACTTTGGGAGTGGGGTGTGAAGGTCTGGTCCTTGCATCTCACTTCCTTCAGATGAGTCAGCCTCAGTCCAGACCTGAGAGAGAGGTTCTTGGTGAGACAGGCGGCAAAGCAACCAGCTCTGTCATCTGTCTCTTGACCCTAACCACTGGTGGGCCTGGAGGGGAGATGATGACAGCCTGAGCCCAGATCTTGCCCACACTGCTCCCCCCACCCCATCCCCCTCACCCATCCGGTCTAGTTATCAAATTCATACACAGTTGTTGTAGAAAACTAAAGTGTCAGGGATCAGAAGAAAAATCAGGGCCTGTGAGAGCTTGGAACTTGCCTTCCCTCCTCCCCAGTTAACTCATGCTTTGGCCTTTGTTCTTATTGCAATGTCTTCTCTCACCTTCCTGATTTGGGTAAAAACTGCCTGCTGTAAACCATAAACGCTCATGCCACCAGATGCTCTCCTTTTACAGCACTTTTCACAGTTGCAATTTTG